GTCGACCTCTTGAGTAGTTAAAAGTTACCGCAAAGTCCTCATAGCTGTCGCCAGCTGAGGACATGTCGGCACACTCATCAGGATCAACAGTTGCAACTAGCACGGTGTCTGCCATTGTCATCTGAACCGGTGCTGTTGTCAAATTCTCGATAGATATGGTATATTCGTATGTTGTTGTATCTTGGGTGACTTCCTGATACCATTCCTCGAGCATGTACGCATCTAAGTATGCCTCCGTCTCCTCCGAGATGGTCGGTAGGCGGCCGCCCGTTGGGCGGTCCTCCTCTGCGTCCAGTGGTGGTGCAGTCGCCTGCTGAGTCCGAGGTTGACAAAGCCTCCGATCTTGGTGGACGTGAGGCACTGAATGATGCGTGCATGGCTGCTGCCAGTGACTCTGTGCACATCATTGGCTGTTCCAGTCGACTCGTAGTAGTGGAACGCTGGTGTGACATCGTTGTCGTAGTAGATGAGTGCGGAGCCCGCTGCCGGAGCGCATGCTGGAAGCTTGTTCACACTCTTAGCCAACCGTACTGCTATGACGTTCTCTAGTCTGAAGTAGTTCCTAATGAGGAACTGTAGAGCCAGGTGGACCTTTGGGTTCATCTGGCTTGCGGTTGTGAGCTGCAAGTTGCCTCGCTGAGTTGGTACGAATCCAAACATCATCGAGGCCCGTCAAGCTTGAAGTCCGGCAATGAACTCAACCACAGTCCGCAGGGCAGTGTGATCCGATCCCATTTCCTTGACCATCAGGCCCTCGATGAACAAAGTGTGTCGGACATGTGGGTAATGGACCAATATTTCTTTATTGTCTGTACCTTTTATCACTACTTGTGCACGATCAGGGTCATTTCTGATGACGGTACATGGTCCATTCCAGCCGCCCCAATCGTCTTTGGTAGCGGTCGGGCGATAGTAGTCAACTGTATCTCCCACGTTGTACAGCCTACCGCCAGGTATTGTGGTCTTGTCGCCAAGTGCTCGCAATGTCTTAGCTACCGCAGTTGCCTGCGTGATGGCTTCTAGGCTCACCGCTCGAATTTGTTGCTCTCTAGCGTGGTCGGACGTTTCCGTCTTAGTTTCAAAATCGAGCGTAGGCAAGTCCGGGAGACATGCGGGTTGGCTGCCCAAAAGAGCGTTGTATGGTGATACGCTGTTGTAGAACGTGAAAGCATTGATGGCACATTTTGCTTCCGTAAGAAGTCTGGTAAATACTATGGGTATGTCACGTTCCTTCAACTCGCTCTCAATGTGGTGCATGGTATGTCTAAGGAGTCCGTTGCGGGATTCCACGGTCGTCGCATGTTGGCCACGAGCACGAATCCTGAGTTCAGTGCCCATCTATGCCAATATGGACGTTGCCGTCTTATTTGCCAAAGCTCCTTCTCCGTCGGAGTAGAGTACCTTCGGTGCTCCGAGATAAAACCATGCTTCACTTATGGCGTTGAGCACTTTGTGCATAGTTTTGTCAGCAATTTCCTTAGTTGCGCTCCACCGTATGCATCTGTCCACCATATGTAGGACGATGTAGGTCTTGTAGAAGAGCAAGTCCACTTCTACTTCTTCGTTGAACTTCAATGGAAGCGCCACAGAGCTCATGTTGGCAGTGCCTGGTCTGGCCCAGTCCCGACATGACTTGCACGTGTCAACGATTTCCTTTATCAGGTTGAGACGTACCGTGTCAAGGCCTACCCTTCCGAGTATAAGGCGCATTTTTTGGTTCACTCGCGCGAAACCATCTCAGATGTAGCTTACGAAGCTCTTTTCTGACAGTATAGGGGTCAGGGCTTCTCAGTGCTTGTAAGCTCAGCTGTACATCGAAGCGACTCCAATCAGGTAGCTTTGGTGTCCGTTGGGCCGTTGCCGGCTGAGAGGGTGGAGGTGGTGGTGGAGCCGGTGTCTCCATACGTCCACGCCCTCCAACAACTCTCTGCTGGCCGTCGGAACCCACCACGGTGCTTCCAGTTCGTGCGTCGCCGCGTCCGCCTGCTTGTCTCAGGTGGTCGCTAGAGCTTCCCGGCGCCGAGCCTGGTGCACGTGGCTGTGGTGGTTCTGCTGGTGCCGGTGCCGGTGCTGGCGCCGGTTGTGGATATGGTAGGAGTTTTGGTATAGCAAATCTGCATTTCTTCGGTATGAAACTGTGCTGTACTTGGGTTTCCTACTGTATCCTTTCTGACATGCCTTGCATTCCCAATATATGGGATCCTTGTCATGCCATCTGCACGTCTTCGGATTTCGCGCGTGCCTAGGGTCATCTGAATTCCTTTTGTCGGCACAAGCTTCACATCCGAGGCCTGCCTCAGGTGGGCGTATTATGGCTCCATCTGACGTGCGTGGTATTGTGGGGTCGTCCAGGTCGCAACCCTTGCAGTTGACGACGTAGGTGTGGAAACCGTTTCCGGTGTGAACACCTTGACGGTGGCGGCGTCTAACGGTAGCCACTGTTTCAACTATGGCTCGCTGCAGTGTTCGTGTGTAGTGCGCCGCCGCCGCCAGCTCTTTGTTGCACACAGTTGCGTGCGTGTGTGTGTGTGATCCGTCACACTTGAACGTGTGGTAAAGTGCAAAAAGTCCGATGTGGTTGGCGTACATCTGGGTCGGCTTCTTGATGGCCGTGCCTTGAGTCTTTGAGCCCTGTCATACACTGGTCCATGTGGATGCTGATCATGTGATTCGTTTGGCCCGTGTTTTCCAGGGTTCAATATCATCTACCAGTGTGCCGGCAGGTTGCTCCCTGATGAAATATATGCGTCTGTCGTCTTGTAGTGTCGCAACTGTTCCGCAGAATTTTATGTGGGGCAGGTATGCCTTATGGCTTGCCAACCATGTCTCGTAATTTGCTTTGGCTTTGAAGTAGGACGGGGGTCCAGTCGATCTGCAGCTCGGCTGTAGTACTGTACAGATTACTATACACGTTTTCAAATAGTGTAGTACTGCCTTCTGTGCAGACTCGTTGCCGAGATCAACGTTGCACCGTAGATCGAGGTTGCCCCCTGATGTGTATCCTCGTCTCAAGGCTAGTTCCGATGTGACCTTCGCCGCCACAAAGTTCCAACATGTCCACACATTTTCGTCTGCCGTAGCATAACGTGGGGATAATGCTGAATACGTTTGACTCCGTTGCCGGTAACGTACTTGGGATACTTACAAATGCATGGTCGCTGTCGTCGTCCAAGTCGTCATCAGTGGAGTCGACATAAGTGGTGCTGGTCACGTTCTCTAAGCCCTTCAGATCGTCCCCGCAGTCGTCTTCTCCCGCCTCAATGTCCTTCTTGATTTTGCGGGGTTTGATGCCTGCTTCCTTGTCCCGTTTTAGCCGTTCCTTCTGCTTTATTCTGGACTCTGTTGGATAAGCAGTAGCTTGTTGAGGTTGTGCTTCCAAGTTTGGGAAAGTTGGAATTTGTGGAGTGGGTCCTGCTGCTGCACATCCACGGTCGGGGAGGGAGGAAGACGCTCATCTATGATGACGTAGCGAGAGTTCGCTGGATGTGGGGCGTCTCCGCTGAGTAAGGCTGGCTCCTTCGGCTCCCAATAGAATCTCGTTGTTGTATTTCTGGTTGCCGTTGGTAGTGGTGCTTGCCAATCGTAACCAATAGGTTGGTCTGCGACGTTGATGTCCTGGATCACCTCCTTCGCGTCATTGTCGATCGTCACACGACGCTGAACGTCGCCCCATTGTGGTCCACTCTTTGGTGTTCGTTGATATGTTGTGACGTTTGTGTCGACACGTGTGTAAATGCTCACGAACGTGGCACTACGTGGTACATCCTTGTTAAGGACTTGGTCTAGGAGGTGACCTGTTGCCAGGTTGAGGGTATTACGTCGCCACTCGGCGTGGTCGTCATCTTGGCCGTACCAGTCCAATGTGTGCTGAGTGTTGGCCTTGCAGTTGCATTGCCACGTCTTCGTGGAAAGTGGGAAAGATGTTGCCACCTGAATATGTGCCGCTAGGTGCGTCATCACGTTTATCATATTTGTACCCAAAGTGACACAAACGCATACGTACTACATGTAGCTTGTAGTCCTCAAGGGCATCACGTATTGAAGTTTGCTGCCACATATATCCAGGAGGCCCACACAATACAATATGCATCTTAAGTGTTTTTGCTTTACCGAGTAAGTTTCGCACCCGTTGCCAGTGAGGGCCAGCTTTCTTGCCTGGGGCTCTTACATACCAATCAGCCGGTGTCGAGATCCACAAAAGCCTGTAATCCCCAGATATCAGTCCTCCCAAATACTGAGTACCCAAAGATGTCATAAGCTCATTGCGGGTGAGCCGGTCGCATAGATAGCCTCGGGTGCGGAGTTGGGCGCAAGCCACTCGATGATCTTCAATAACGATAGCAGAGACCGATAGATGATGATTGACAGGCGCCTTTTGTGAGCCTGTCGCCAGCGCTCCCTCCGAGGTGCAAGCCGCTGCGCCCGCCGCGGCCTGCCCCCGTCAGAGGTCCAGCCTGCAGTGCTGAACCCCGGAGCTGCTGCTGGCGCCAGGCGTCGGCGCCGTAGCCGGAGCAGTCGCCTGCTGAGAGATTAGCGTCGCCGCCTTCGGCCACATCGTTGGCGCCGTCGCCGGCTGAAGCTCCCGGCCGCGATCCCCCTCGATGTCCTCCAGCAGGTCGTAGGTGTGCATGACCATGTCAACCATGTCGTCAAAGAGACTCTTGGTGACCCGGCGCACCCTTGCGCTAAGCGTCCCCGCTTCGCCCAGCTTCCCCTGCAACGCGCGAGCTGACGCGTGGATGATGTCCATGATTTTGTTATTGCAGTGCAGGGGAATATGGTCCGTCACGCACGTCAAATCCTCGCTGTCAGTTGCTCCTTGAGAAGTTTCCGTCTGATGAAACGTTTCCGTTGAGTGGAAGATGATGCTTGGTGTCACGTGTGTTCCTGGACCCGTCGCCAGGTGAGGCGCGGGGCTGAACTCGGAGCACTTCATCGCTAAGTGTCCGGAAGGTAGCTGGACTAAGTTCGCCACGACTGCCTGAGGTCCCACGTGAATCCTGTAGTCGCCTCCCGGCATGACCATCGCCTGCTTGCCCTCCTCAAGGATGAGGATGGCTTTCTTCTGCTCCATGCTGGAGAGGCCCAGGATAGCTGGAAGATTATTGCCATGTCCCGTCGCTACGTTTGCGATGAAAAGGTCGTCGCTTGTCGTACCTTGATATTTGCAGCGAATCGGGAATTCTGCAACCATGTCGCAAGTTGTGCTTCCAGCTCCGACACCACGTATCATGAGAGGGGTGTCTCTTGATCTCCTCCTTGAAGCGTTGCCGCCTTGATTTACAGCGATCAGGTCCATCTCCCTGGCTGTTTCCTCTCCCACGAGGTTGACCTTCGAGCCGACGTCGATCAAGAGAGCGTTCCCCCCAACGATTCGTGTTCTGTCAGGCTGACTGGCTAGAACATCTTCTTGAGACGTGCTCGACAGTGACACTGACCTGGTGCCAGGTGATGGTGGTGGTATCCCGTCGCCGGGTGAAGGTGGTGGTGCGGCTGGCGCGCGCGGGACCGTAGGATGCGTGGTGGAAAACGCCGGCAGAGATTCCAGTGGTATCTGTGCTTCTCTCGGTCGTCGAGGTGCCCACGTCATCTCGTCGCACTGGTTCCGGTACTCGGTGCGTCGCCGCATTTCAAGGACGTACGGCTTGCAGCTTAAGTGCCGGGCGGTTGGTCTGCCATCCCGGAGCCATATGTTCATCTCCATGTTGGTGACCGGGTTCAGGCGGAAGTGTTCCCATGCACTTGGCGTCATACCATTTGGTATGGATAGAAGGCATCGACGATCGATCGCCAGTGAAGCGAGAGGCGCCCCCTCGCGCACTTTCCAGGCGATCGCCTCGTTGTACGCTGACCAGCACTGCGTCTCACTCCGTTTGGCTTCGTCTTCGTCATGGCACGCGAGCGTCTCCGCGACATGCCGCAACGCCTCGCGATGTTCGCCCAGCACATGTGCGCGCAGCTCCGCTTCGCTGGATCCCCGCCACCCGCACCCTCGAAAAGCGCAATGTGCACGCGGCAGCTCCACGGCACCACGGGAGAAGATGCACTCGCCTCCCAGCGTTTCTCCGTGCACAGAGACCGATGGCACGGTGGGGTGGTCTTTCATGAGACCTGCCGCCTTCGTGAGCCCTTTCCCCCCTACCCCCCCGGCTCACGTCCGCGGACACGTGCCCGTTGTCGACTGCGCGAACGCGGTGCACGTGCGCCGCGCCCGATCTCTCGGCTGCGTCGGCGTTCACAGCCCGGCCTTCGCTCCTCTCCGCGCCGCTCTGACCCGCCTGACTACCCATGCCGCCCACCGCCAGACTCGGGGCCCGCGCAGTCCTTGAGTCGGGCACCTCCTTCAGTTCTCCGGCCTGTCCGGGCGAAACTGCTCTAGCGCTGGCGCTCTCCCAAGTTGCAGACCCATCGGGCATCCAAGGACGATGACCCGTATAATGGGTACTGGAACGCTCGCGTGCATTTGCGGGCGCTCAAGCCAGCGTCGCTGCGGCGAAACGCATCGGTAACATTCAGCATGCTCCCGCTCCCAGATAAAGGCAGGCTTCTCGATCAGTTGTCTGCCAGCGTCGACACGGATAGTGTTCAGAAGGCGCGTGCAAAACTGTCGCACTCTGGAAAGTGGGAAAAATTCCAATGAGACTGCGCCTCGGCACGGGGAAACAATACCAAGCCCTGGACGAAGGCCCCGCCCGTGACGAGCCTGACTGGATATCGCTTGCGACCCGTGCTGCCCGAAACGGGCAGGCCGCCAAGGCAGCCGTGGCGTGGTCCAACTACTACCAGACCTGCCACATGAGGCGGCACCGTAGCTGCGACAAGGATGGACTGGCGTACAAGAGCCTCGAGCTTGCCGACGCTGCAGACGGGCGGGTCTGCGCGTACTGCAAGAACTACGGCCGCCCAGATAAGGGGCGCGTCGTCGCGCATCCCTGCGGGCCGGGGCGGGCGCCCCAAACTCCAGAGCAGCTTGTGTCTAGGATTCCTGAGGGCAGCGGCCGCCTGCTGAAGTGCGCGCGGCGCGGCTACGGCACGCTGAGGTACGGCCAAGGATCCTGCCGGCGTGTCCGGCGGTTTTGCGTTGTCTGCCACTCGAAGCAGTTGCCGAAATTCAAGAAGTGCTCGTGCTGCGGCGCCTGAGCGTTGCCATGCGAGGCTGCCGTGGGCGCCCGTCAAAAAAACATCATCATCCTCCTCACCATCGTCGAAAAAATAATTCATCATCACATTCATCGTCGAAAGAGGCCCACGAGGGCTTCTGCGAGGCCTCTGATAGCCTCTGCGAGCCCACTCAGAGTTTCTGCTGGGCTCCTGGAAGCCTCTACGAGGCCTCCGAGAGCCTCTGACAGGCTATTGAAAGCTTGCGAGAGGTTCTGAAGAGCGTCTCGCAAGCTTTTGAAAGCTTCTGAGCGACTCTGAGGCTCTTGGGGAGCTTTTGAGAAACTCCTGGGAGCGCCTGGGAGGAACGCTGAATTGGTGAACAGATGGGAGCCTCTGGGCAAAGCCTGGGAGATGCCATAGATGTCGACAACCCAAGACCAAGGAACCATGTAATCAAGACCAAGGAACCCGAGACACCGATACCAAGGAGCTCCACGACCAAGCACAAGGACCCCGAGATACCAATAACGAGGAACCCAGGTCCAGTACCGAGGAACCCAAATCCAAATGCCCCAAGACGGCTCAAGAGGCCCCCAAGACGGCCCCAAGACGACATCGACGACGAAGACGATACGGTTTTCCTGCATGCGTCGATCGCGCAGTTGGCGAAGCCCACAAGACGAACTGGGGGGAGCGCGCGCGCGAGCTGCCTACTGCTTGCGCGAACCGAAATGTTGTCGTGGCCCCTAAGCCAGGCCGCGAGCGCCTGCTCGGCCGTGGCCTCATTAGCCTCAAGAAATTCAGCGCTCGACCTGCGCAGGTTGGTCCAGCCACCCTGGGCGTAGCGCAACGTCCTGTGATGGTGCGCGGAGGAAGGCCACGCGCACGCGCGACGCCATCTCCAAGGGCAGAGAGCTCGCATGGGGAGCTCGTCTGCTTCTGAATGGCAGCGCCCGTAAACTGGGACACCGCCGCAGAGGCTTCCTAACTCGAATGATCTTCCTCTGGGCCACGAACCGTGCGAGGGGCGTGCCGACGTGGGGCGGTAGTGCCATGGCCAGATACTCCACTGCCAGACACCCCACTTCATGGCCAGAGCACGCACCGACTGGCCGCCTTGCGGTGCGGGTGCGCGTCCACCAAGCCCTGGCGTTGCTCGTGCCATCTGCGGGGGCCACAGACTGAGTGTAAAAGTTCGTGACTTGCTGGTCGTCGGCGTCCTTCGCGATCGCGCAGAGTTCCTGGACGACGACGCAACGCAAACCCACGACGACGACGTCGACGACGAAGACGATAAGGCCCTCCTGCGTACGTCGAAAAAAAACAATTAAAACGGGCGTGGGAACCTGCGAGAAATCGCACGGCCTTGCCTCGTTGTCGAAGCCAGAGCAATGGCCACGTCTGCGGGAAGCGCACTCCTACGAAGTCAGGTTCCCTCCCAAACAAGTCCCCTGACCCAGCGGCCCGACTGGGCCGCAGCCAGTGCCCTGGGAATGCCTTGGGTCCCCCTCCGCAGAGGTGCCCACCATGGTCAAAAAACTGAGAGGTTGCCATTCGTGTTTGTTTCTTGGCTAAGCCAGGTCCCCTCCCAACAGGTCCCCTGACCCCGCGACCCGATTGGGCCGCAGTCAGTGCCCTGGGAGTGCCTTGGGCCCCCCTTCCGCAGAAGTGCCCACCATGGACAAAGAAGGGAAGGGGGAAGGCGAGGCTTCGAATGTCGCCGAGGCCGCAGAGAACATCACGTCAGGGCCCACACAAGTAACCGAAACAATAACAAACACTGGCAACGACACTGGCGCCGAAAAGAAAACCAACCAAAAACCTAACACGGAAACATAAAACGGAAAGCGGCGCAGAAACCAAAAGGGAAACACGACGACGACGGCGACAACCAAAAACGACGACGAGTCCTCCAACGATACCTCGGACAGAGCGCCAAAGCCGACACCCTTAACCAAAGAGACGGCCGAAACAGAAGCCAAAACGGAAATCGAAACAGAAACCAACACGCCAACCGACACGGAAACCGAAATTGCAACCGAAGCGGGAACCGAAGCGGAAACTAACGCGGAAGCCAAACCAAAAACTGACGACCAACAAGAAATCCAACACGGAAACATAAAACGGAAACCGACGCGGAAACCGAAACGGAAACACGACGACGACGATGGCGACGGCCAAAAACGACGACGAGCCCTTCAATGACACCTCGGATATAACGCCAAAGCCGACACGACGAACCGAAGAGGCGGCCGGAACGGGAATCGAAACGGACGCCGAACCAGAGACCGATACGACAACCGACACGGAGCTCGAATCCGAGCGGAAACTAACGCGGAAGCAAAAACGGAAATCGACGCAAACGCCGACACGCATTACAAAAACGCGCTGCAGGATCTAACAAACAGTAAAATGTGCATGGGTCCTCTTCCTCCTGCTCCATTTCTCCTGCTCCCCCTCCGCCTCCTTCCTCCTCCCTCCTCCTCCTCCCCCATCCCCCTCCTCCTCCCTCTCTTTCCTCTCCAACCGACGACGACGACGACGACGACGACGACGACGACGACGACGACGACGACAGCCCCCTCGAGCGCCCCCCCAGGACCCCCCTCCTCCCTCCTCCCTCCTCCCTTCTCCATCCGTCCACCCCCTTCCCCCCTCCTCCCCCTCCTCCTCGGTCGGTCGGTCGGTAGGCAACTAAGGGAATGAGTCTGGATCCCAATCGATGCGTGAGACGAGAGCGGCAGCAGAGAGAAAAAGGAGAGCGGAGGCAGCGATCGCTGAAGCGGGAAAGCCTCATCAAGGTGAAACGCGCCCCCCCCCCCCCCCACACACACACACACACACACACACACACACACACACACACACACCACCAACAAAAAAAAAAAAAAAAAAAAAAAAAAAAAAAAAAAAAAAAAAAAAAAAAAAAAAAAAAAAAAAAAAAAAAAAAAAACACGCACACACACACACACACACACACACACCACACACACACAACACACACACACACACACACACACACACACACACACACACACACACACACACACACACACACACACACACACACACACACACACACACCACACACACACACACACAACACACACACCACACACACACACACACACACACACACACACACACACACACGCACACACACACACACACATACACACACACACACACACACCTGTTACAAAGCCCAGTCCCAATCCATGGCGTGCGTTTGAAAGCCCAGTCCTGGTGCAGGGAGTCGAGCCAGTACGCGTGGTAATAGACATCGACGCTTAGGTGGATCCCAACCACGGTCGGCAGGGGAAAATGACACACCCAGGTGCTGGGAGCTAGTCGGGGCACTACCACCTGACAGCGGCGAAAAAGGGACCTTCCCCCGAATACATGCAAGAGTTACGGTGCTGCGCACACCCTAGCCACACCCAGGTGTCTGGGCCGTTGGGGCACTGCTGCCTCACGGCAGCGAAAAAGATTCCTTCCCCCAAACAGCGCTAAACATCCCCACGTGTCTGCGAGAGTTAATGGCGCCGCGCACACCCAGGGGGGGCAGTGAGAAACACAGCAACTTAGTGCGGGTAAGGAGGACCTCGCCACGGTTTCTATTGAGAGAGAATGGTACCCATTTGAGCGTAGTCACGGCCCCTCTGGAACTCAAAGAAGGGGTCGAGAGGCACAAAGAAAGGGGCAACAATGTCATCTAAATCCCAAGGGGGTTCTCCTTCGCAATTGAACTGACTCTGAATAGACACAAACACGGATTGCGCGAGAAAACGGCAAAGTTGGGATGGGTACGTCTTCGCCGCAGCCGTGTTCCACCCCCCACTCACATCCCTGCCTTCAAGCACATACGGATGAGCACGGTGTTGGCACATCCCATGATGTGGCAATTCACGAATGAGCTGGCCCATCATAGGCACATTGATTCCTAGGAG